TTTAATTAAATAATATAATATGTTTTAAAACACTGTAATTAACATGCAAAGAACGACATTTTTAAATCTATGACGCTCAGTACCTCCATACAAACTGGGTTAGAAAAACAAAAAAAAAGACTTTATCAGAAGAAGAATAAGAGATTACAAAAAAAAAAAAATAGGTTGTTTTCTTACAGCCAGATTGGTTTGGATATGGTAGGTTAGTTTCGCTGAAACTAAACCTATTAAACTATTTTTGCGGACACCACATTAAATTTTTAAAGATCGTTTAAAACTATATAATGAATCAAACATTATATTCCAGAGTACTAAGAATCATACCTATATTAGAAAAAAACACATAATTTTTTTAAAAAAATTGCATCTGTAAAACATTCTATTTATAGTAATCTGAAAAGGTACATTGATAGATTATCAAGAGTTGTGTTTTGTTTTAAGATGAATATTTTCAAGAGTTGCGAGGAAAAAAAAGTTCAACCAAATACATTTTCAGGACCATTAGATAGAACCATAATAATTACAACCACGAGACTGAAACTCTTCAAAAAAAATTTTAAAAATCAAGAATTAGGGAAAAGTATGACTCTTCAAATTAAAGAGATGTGTTGTTTGAAAAAAAATAACTGCTCATAGCAATTTTAATTTAAGTATAAAAAAAATATTAAGACCAATAGAAGAAAAAAAAACAATTATAACCAAAGATTGTAATCCTTCAAATATGAAAAAAGTATGACTCTTTCATGTAAAAAGATGGGTTGTTTGAAAAAAATTATGTTAATGCCATAAATATCGTATGTCTAAAAAACATTTCTTAGGACAATTGCATGAAAAACAAAACAATGGTTGAAAAATTGTATCTTTTCATAATAAACTGAANAGAACCGAATTATATTAGTTTAAAAGTTGCATCTTTTTATTATAAATAGAATTGTCTAGTTTCATAAAAAGCTATCTATTATTTTAAAAGTTTCATCTTTTCATTATTAAAAAAAGTTTATGTTTCAGATAAAATAGTTTAAAAGTATTTAAAAGAGGGTATAAGAATTGTGTCTTCTCAAAATAACAATTGTTGAAAGTTTGTATCTTTTCATAAGAACTGAAACATATTAGTTTCAAAGTTGCATCTTTTCATTATAAAAACAATTGTATCTCACAAAAAATAATTTAAAAATATTTAAAATAGTTATAAGAGTTGCGTCTTCTTATAATAAAAATCTACTAATTATAACAATCTTGATTAATTTCAAATGCTGTGAATGCCAAATAAAAAGAAAATTGAGACTCTTAATAAAAATGTATATTAGTGTGAAAGGTTGAAAATACAAAATAAAATGAAAAGTTGTGTCTACTTAAAGAACTGAAATATATTAGTTTTAAAGGTTGTGTATCTTTTCATAAGAACTGAAATATATTAGTTTAAAAGTTGCATCTTTTTATTATAAATAGAATTGTGTCTTTTTATAAAATAATTCTATTATTTTAAAAATTCTATCTTTTCTTTATAAAAAAGTTTGTGTCTCATAAAAAATAGTTTAAAAGTATTTTAAAGAGGTTGTAAGAATTGTGTCTTCTCATAATAACAATTTTTGAAAGGTTATATCTCTTCATTAAAAATGAAATATATTAGTTTAAAAGTTGCATCTTTTCATTATAAAAACAATTGTGTCTCAGAAAAAATAATTTAAAAATATTTAAAATAGTTATAAGAGTTGTGTCTTCTCATAATAAAAATCTACTAATTATCACAATCTTGATTAATTTAAAAGTCTGTGAATGCGAAATAAAAAAAAATTGAGACTCTTAATAAAAATTTCTATTAGTGTGAAAGGTTGAAAATACAAAATAAAATGGAAATTTGTGTCTCTTTAAAGAAATAACTGAAAGATTGTGTCTCTTAATAAATAAAATGAGAGGTTGTCTCTTAATAAAAATCACAACTAATTCTAAAGGTTGTGAATGTCAAATAAAATAAAAATTGTGTACCTTAATAAAAAAATCCCAATTAATTCTAAAAGTTGTGAATGTCAATCAAGATGAAAGTGAATGTCAATCAA